GTATTATGTTTCACTAAAAATACAGGAAAGCTACCTATCTGTTCAGAACTCTCCAGTACTTCCCCATTTATACCTGTACACTTCCCCAAAGTTAGCAAAGTAACATTTTTTTCTTTTGTGCTCAATGACAGAAAACTGCAAACGCTTCTTTTTCTTCTATCAGGGACAGAATAGCTTAAACCAGGGAACACATGGACAAACAAATGAAATCTCTTTTTTCATGACTCCCTTCTGACTCAAACTACAGATGCTTTATCACCTCTCATGTGTCCTAATGCCCTTCCTTGTGTTCTGTCCTATCGCTAAGCTTTAGAGCAGCACAGAAAGCTAAGTCACTTAAGACCATCAGGTCTAATAAATCAGGACAAGTTTAAGTCTCGCACTCTTTCTGCGCCTTCTCACCTAATTGGGAAACCATTATTACAGATTTCAGAGGCTGAGAAAATGCAGCAGCAACTAAATAGCTCTTTTCCAAGCTCCTATCAAGGAGGTGCAGTTGGTTGTTTGAATTTTTATTGCTGTTTGCACAAAACCATTTTGTTGTTGTGTGCATGTAATACTTCTGCAGTTCTTTTTGATAACGAACCATTTTGCACCATATCGCAAATCAGTCTCTTCTAAGTTTCATGGAGGTTCTCTGCATACAAAACATACCAATTCCCAACATTTACATCTGAAATCATTTAAACCATTAAAAATTCTCTTATGTCAAAAAACCTCAACTAGGTCCTCCATGTCCAAATAGGAAACAGGTAGTATAACTTAACTCATAAGCTTTGATATCTTAAAAACACAATCTCCCCTGACACCAGTTACATTCCAATACCAACTGGGTAAGAAAAACATTTTCCTGGTTGTCTGAACCAATTAACCCCAGAGCTGATCAGAGCTCTCTAATTAGAGAGCCCCGACTTTCTGAGCACAAACTGTCTTGTTTAGCTAGATGTTAAAACCGCTCAATTTTCTTCTTAATAAGAGCACTGCACCATTTCCTATACAGCTTTTAACTCCTCACTCATTTTCTCAGGGTCTCTGCCTGCACCAGAAGCTCTAAAGCAGCGCTGGGTTTATTCCTGCCCTGCTAACGCCCTGAGCATTGCCTAGAGGGGCAAGACACCCCAGCTTTGTTCCACCAAGCAACAAACCAACCGTTCACACAGCACTGTATTATTAAAAAAAAACAAAAAACAAAAGTGGATGACAATTATTATCGCTAACTCAAACCAGACTAACAGAACAAGCTAGCAAAACCAAACGGTGTTCTGAATTCCTAAGTACCATCTATACACTGACGTGTCATTAGGAAAACTATTTCACTACTGAAAACAAATACCGAAGCAAAGATTAGAAAAGCAGCCAGTCACACAAGACAGTGCCAGAAATATTTCTGTTTCAGAACCTCAGAAAAAACGACGCACAAGAAAGCTACCTCCCCCTCGAATGATCCGAACAAATAAGACAAAGAATTTTAGAAAAATTTTAGTGAGAAATCCCTCGTCTAGAACACAGCTTCCAACGAGATAGCAACTTAGTATCAGAAGCAAATAGATAATACTGAGAAACAGGCACAGAATCCAATTGCACAGGCAGCATCCAGACATGGCTGACAAAAGTAGCCTCCTATTTTCTTCAGAGCTTCCCAGCATTCAAGTGTTTCTCTTATCAGCCTCAACCAACAGAGCTGTCACCTGCTACTGCTTGCATTTCACCCAGCAGAAAACCAAGCTGATCTGTCGTGTGCAAGGCCACCTGCCTTAAAAAAAAAAAAAGAAAAGAAAAGCAAAATAAATAAATTTCTTTTCCCTGATTTCCCTAATATAATGTAGATTGGAGATGATTTATAACAAGTTGGAAGGCAAATCAAGTCTTTTCTTGTTGATGCTGGGATCTCAAAGGGTATGGCAATTACCCACAGAGCAGAACACGCAGTGCTATTACATATACTTAAGGACATGATTATTATTCTTCAGCACAGCTCAAATCTAACTTAATGTTGGATTTTTTTTTTTTTTTTTTGTATTTTTGGACACCTTAATATGGTGCACATCTTCCTATTTATTTACACACAATGTGGTAGCTCCTACTTACACAACAGCTGTTTTTCCCCCAGCATTGTTCATTCAGTACACATCAGATCTGCCACAGAACCCAGGCAGTAAAGTGTCACTTATGCAATTAGGGGTCTCAGCTCAGATTATTGCATAGAATCTACGTTATAAAGAGAATAACAACAACCACTTCCAGAATATCCATGCTCCTTAAACATTGTAGACTACAACCCCCATATCTCCTGCAAGGAATGTGCATTGATACACATTAGCAAAGGAAATAAATAAATAACATTCACCAGGATCAAAGCCACGACTATAATTTACTGCCTCCTGAATCCTGTGCTCAAACCCACAGACCCAATACTGAGCATTTGAAGCTCGCACTGACTTCGCTTTGATCACCGCTGCACACCAGAGCCCAGATGTCTGAACCGACACACAGAAAATGGAAAAACTCCCTATGAATAACAAGGAACTAAGACAGGCTCTCCACTTTGGCAATCAGCACCTTCACCACAAAGGCTGGCTTTCTCTTCCTGAATACTCTCGCCTATAATTTGGAAGAATAGCTACATTCATTACATAGCATGAGTCAGAGTAATTTCTTGAACCAAGTCTCTCTTGTGCATGTTTTCATTGCCCAGCCTTTAGTATTTTATTATTTCTTCTGGCAGCGGAGGGTTTGTTGTTGTCTTTAAGGGAGAAGAAAGAGGAGGAGAACAGAACAACTATTCAATCACATGCAGTGGCCTCCTCGCCACTCCACTTGCATGTTAGCAGTACAGGGTGCACCCCAGCACTCTCACACACAGCTGTGCAGATGTGAGCATCTCTTCCTGAGCAGCACGTTAATTATGCTGGCAGAAGTTTGTTAAGCCAGGAAGGAATTGATCTGTAAAACTGCATAATTAGCCCGGACAGAGCAGGGACATGGATACCGGAGCGTCAAATGAGAAAAGGTTGTGAACTGTGAACTCCAACCTCAGCTCTGTGCCTTCTCTGTTCTAGGAGGTTATGGCTCCTTCTCCCTATCAACACTGGAATCACAAACAACCAACATAAATCCGAACTCAGGTTTCTCCTCTTCCGCCTGCCTGCAGATCCCCAGCGCAGGGCCTGCAGCTGCTGCAGGGGCGGCCTTTCAGAGCACTGCCCTTAGGGAACGCACTGCTGCCAGGATCCTGCGGGAAGAGCAACAGCCATTTATCCTGCCTGCCTTTCGGCGGTAAGCCATCACAAGGAGAGCTCACTGAGAGGGGGTGGGTCACAAATATCTGATAAACCCAGGTCCAGAGTCAAGCCATTGCTTTTTAAAATTTCAGATGTGTCAAGATAACAAAAGTTACCAATAGGACTTGACCGAAAGGAAATGCCACATGAAATACAGCAGCGCTTAGCAGATTTCATAGGTTTCCTGATGGTGATTAGTTTGTTGCTTTTGAAGATTAATCACTGTAGGTTTTATCAATTTGTTATGACAGAAAAAGAAAAAAAAAAGATGATTTAGAAAGCCAGCCAACGAGTGAAACAAAGCTGTAGCTGTGCTCATACACGACATAAACAAATGCTAAGGGGCAGCACAAATGACCGTTTCTAACATTCGTAAGGTGGGATTGATTATGAAAGCTACATCCCGCAGTACCATTTCAGGACTTGCAAAACCATGAGACATGGTAAGCAAATAAAGCAAAGCAGCAGCCAGCAGGCACACGGATCTGCAATGGCCACGACTGTGAACAAATGGTGCTGGGGTCAGATTGGGTACCACAGGGATTTTGGCAGCACTGATGGCAGTAAGGTCCAAGAGCTTCTCAAAACAAAATCAATACACAAGTCCAGAGAGAATCAGCGAATCACAAAAAACGGTCTTAACGGTCTTTTTCGCTGGTTTTAATGAGCAAAACGCTGGCTGCACAAGGTAGAAATGCTGACAGTGCCTTTTCACAGTGGTGATGCATGTCACATTCCTCTGAAAACAAGAAGAGAGCCAAAATAACGAGAAAAGAATCAGTTCAAAAGGAGGACAGCCTTCCTCACAGTCCCACAGGTAAGACCTTTTGACTTAAAGCAATTAAAAAAAAAAAGCAACAAATAAACGACAAAAATCAAATGAATACATTCTTAAGCACGCATCAGGAACATTCAAGCATGTGTTCGCATTCTAGCCAATGCGGCTTCTTGCTTCCCACATTTAAGAACTTACAAGACCGTAATTTGGGATATTTTTTCCCTTCCCTTGTGCTTGTTTCCCAGTTAACATATGTATTTCGTGTACACGCACGTCGGCTCAGCAGCAGTGCTAACCATACGCCCGAAGCTAAGCACACGCTCTGCCTTCTCGGAGTCAGCTGGAAACAGAAACGCACACAGGGCACAGCCAGGCTTATGCTCCACTGAAACCCCCAAACGGAGCCCGGGCGCTAAAAGAGCTTCAATCATTAACGCCTGAAACCATCCCGGGATCCTCCGACGAAATGCAATACGTCAAGACAAACCTTAGCCTCCTCCTGACTCGAGCCGTTAAGGCTTCAGAACGTATCTATCAACGCGACGACGAACGCCTCGTGGCGGCCGCAGCTCTGCGCGCGGATACGGCGGCAGCCGGCGGTGATTCGGCGGCCCGGCGCCGGCTGAGGACGGCATCCCGACGACGGCACCCCGCGGGGCGCGCCGCGCGCCTCCCGCCTCTCAGCGCCCCTCAGCTCCCCTCACGCCGCGCTACCAAAGATGGATCCCGCTCCGCTCCGCTCTCGCATCCCCCGCGCAGGTACAGCACAGCCGCACCGACGCAGCCCCGCTCCGCCCGACCCCGCGCCGCAGCCGCTTCCCTCCCCCGCTCCGTTTTAACGCCTCGCACAAACGGGCTCCTCGGGGTCGCGCTCCCCGCGGAGGGAGGGGAGGATCCTCCCCAGGGACGGCGGGAAGCGGCGGCAGGTCCGGGGCCGTTACCTGAGGCCGCCGAGGCGGGCGCTCCTCCCGGCAGCGCCGCTCGCTCCGGCTGCGGGCGGGTGGCGGCGGCTGCCGTCGGCCGGCCCCTCAGCAGCAGCAGCAGCAGCGCCAGGAGCAGGGAGGAGGGCGGCCCGCGGGTCCCCGGCATGGCGGGCAGCCCGCGGGCAGCGGAGGAGCATCGCGGGCGAACACCGCACCGGGAGCTCCGGCAGCGAGCGGCCGCCGGGCCCGCCTCTCCGCTACGTGCCGGGGCGGGGCCGCACGGAGGGGCGGGGCCGGGGCTGCGGCGTTCCGTCCACGCAGCCCCGGGGTCGGTCACCCTGCCGCATCGCCGCTCTTTCGGATTAGTTTTTCCTTACGCCCGAGCCCGGCCTCCCTCGGCGCGGCCCGCCCCGTCGCCGTTGCCCGGGAGCGGAGCCCGCGGTGACAGTGAGGTGAAACAGCTCTGCGCGCCGCCGCCTCACCGCCCTCTGACTGAACGGCGTCAGGCATCTGCTGGGCGAGGCGCTGAAAGCACGCGGGGACCGCCTCGATGAGGGTTTCGTACCAGCACCAAGGTGCCTTGGTTTCGGAGAGGCAGGTGCTGAAGCTTTTCCATGTGTTGCTTCAGTAGTAAACAAGTTTCTTCAGAAGGTACAAAGCTGCTGTGACACTTACTTCCCTCTAATTAGATTTAAAAATAGCCAAATAATGGTCTTTATTTTAAACATAGTGAGAAGCCGGGCCAAACTGTGGTGTTCAGACCTCAGATTTCTTGCATGCAGTGGAGAAGGAATGCAACAGAATTACAAACTGTGGTAGAATATTTATTTTCTCCACAGGTTACAATGTATATTTTCTGGGGATTTTTTAACAAGTCTAACAAAAATTAGTATATTTTTCTTGTAATTTCATGTCATTCTGTACAGTACAATATGGTTGTTTAATTGGCATTAGCAATGACTTCACAGAGATTTGGGGCTGTCACTGAAAATACAATTTTGTTACAGTTGCTGAGTTTGCTGAAAAATATGAATTCATCCATCTGCCTTATGGACAAACTGTGCTGCGATGGGAAACTTCCAGCTGCCTCAACAGGTAAGATCCACTACTTTTCTTTACAATAGTTTGAATACATTGGGTCTCCCTCTTCTTCATTAACACCAAAAAATACATGCTGTGGATAGTATTTCTTCTGAAGGAATCTTTATTTGAACTAAGTAAAAGGGCACAGAATGCAACCATCATTTCCAGGTTTGGAGCTCTCTAGCAGCTCACAAAGAGGAGAGATTCTTGCTTGCTCTGTGCCCGTGTGTCCAGGTAACATCCTCTTAACTAGTTTCCTATTCAACCTTTTATCTGGGCAAAGAAAAGGGGCCTGCTTCTGTGCCATTGTATGTTCAGAGAGAGGAAAGGGATCCACAGAAAGCTAACTAAATGCTGTAAGCAATTTGTTTCCTGTGTTAATTGATATCTGATGACGGGTGTGTGGTATTGGGTGGGCATGGATCAAGGAGATGTTCACTTCTAAATATTAGGGCTCTTAGAAAAAGAAAAGATAGACCAAGTTTAGTTGGAGATGAATGGTTTAACCCATTTGCAACTGCAACATTTTAAATTAATGTTGATGGTGTGAATATGCATAATTAATCTTTGTGAAGTTCTGAAATAAATCCATTAAGCGCATGGTAAGAGAAGATATTATTGCAAACAGTTCACGAAAGGAAGTATTCTGTGGAAATTTGGTGCTGGTACTGCATTTAGATAAACTTCTGAAAAGGCACTTGTACACCCTAGGAAGTACAAACAACATGAATTCAGAAAATAAGAAAAATCACAATCAGGTTTACAGTTTCTTAGCCAAATTTTCTTTTTAAAGAACATTGATATTTGATAGTAAATAATTTATTTCACCTTCCTCAGTATTTATTTGAGGTAATATGTCCTGCAGAAACTTCTGCAGTCTCCAAAAGTTAGCCTCATACTTTTCAAAATTTGAGTAGATAACAAGATATCTGCACATCATTAACCACTGAAGGGATGTAACATGGCATCTGGTAATATTCTGTCAAGAGATTGTAAAGTCTGTACAAAGGAACACAAAATGTAAATGCAGATATCTGATAGAAGTAACAAGCAGACATGGTGTGCATGTGAAGTAGTAAAGACAAGGTATGTATTTTTAGCTTCTTATATTTATGTGTTTTACAAATGTGTTACACATTTGAGCCCTACGAGGTTGGTCTTGGCAAGTCCTACACGCCTGTGAAAGGAGGTAATGGCTCAGCACCCAATGTGCAGAAGGTTTATCTGAAAGATGCAATAAAAGATTGTTTCTGAAATACCTTGTGTGTGTGTCTATGGCCTTCTGACAGCAGTAATCCTATCTCTTTGTGAGAGGTTTATACAAATACACCAAAAAAAAGTCTCAGTTATCACCACATTCTTTAATTACTTGAACATGTAATTTTAAAATGCATTTATATATGCTTATATTTATTACTATAGCAACAACTTAGAAGCCCAGAGCATGTGAAACAGTATAACGGAGTTGGAGATGGTAGAGTTCTATTGATGTAAATAACCCCAAGACATGGACCGTCATTTTCTTTGAGGTGATCATGGCATAAGATGGAAAAACATTGAAAAAACACTGTTCCCATGTTGCTGTACCAGTACAGCTCTTGTCATTAATTTCTTAATCATGCATTGTTTTGGAACTGCAATACAGATATGGCAATCTGTATAGCAGATATATATGATCTGTATATCTATCTGTGCTGATAACTAACTGAAGCTATCCAAAACTAGGCCTGCATTGGTTGCACCTTGTACTGATAGAACACTCAGAAGCATGTTTTGATTGCTGTAATAATGTTTTGTACATGCTTTAACTGTAGCTATTGTAAAAGGCACAGAATGCTGTTAAAACGTAACTACCAGTATTTCATTATTTCAGTGTCCTTTTTTGTCATTGTCTTTAGGCCAACAAATTTCTACTAACAATCCAGGTAACTCAGTTTTGGAGTTTTTCCAGTTTTTCCTCAAAGATTCACTAAATGCCAACATTTAGTTCTTAAAAAAAAATAAAAAGTGCAATCAATGGAAAATAAGTGTATACCTTTATCACGACATAAGGTATTTATTCACAGGGATGATTGTTATTTAGACCGTAATCCTAAAATAAAGTTAGGCTAAGAGACACAACAACCAAAAACAAGACTTCTGAGACTTTTCCTGAACAAAGAGCGAAACATTTTCTACAATGATGCAACAGCTACAAAATCTGAGTTACTTTTGGTACGCAGAAATTTCTGTAAGAAAGTTGGAGGGTTTTTTGTGACGAGAGGATTCTTTCTGACCAGATCCTCATTTTTGCTTGTGGTTCTGAATTCTTTTGACTTGAGATTAATCTACACCGTTCTAGCTGAAAATGTAGAAGTTATGTAAATATGTCCTTCTCATGGTTAGTATGTAAAGATGGTTGTAAATATATACTATGAAATACTTTAAGGTAAATTAGATATATATATATATTTAAAATAATCTAGGAAAGAAAAATGAAGGAAGCCATGTTAGTTAAGAGGTATTTTATTCCAAAATTCTTAACATCAAAATCAACTCAAAATACATTTTTTTCCAAACAGGTTATCCAACAATATTTCAAAATTGAATACACGTATAGAAAAATACAACCTAATTGAATCAATTTTCAATTTAGATGAAAAGAATGCATTGAAAAGTAAACCATAGCTTAATAGCTATTTTTGATATCAGTACAAAATTACTGTGCTATAATACCCACGTTTTTTTTTTTGCAAGGTTTATAATTTAATAAAAATAAGGTGACTTCAAATGTATATTGCTCTCTTTAAATGTACCGAAGACCTTGGAAACAAGTTCATAGTTACTGAAAATATTCCCATTCATTACAAATATTTACTACATAACTAAGAAACCCAAAACGCAGCAGTCTCATTAGTATGTTAATTTTCTGCCTGTGCAAACAATGCTATAATGATTTAATGCACGAGCAAAAAATCAATGCAAAAATTCTATTACCAAGAAATAAAACCTTACATTTTCAACATATTTATATCATAGCAAATAGCAGTTGCCTTCCTGGACTAGAAAGGGCCACCTAAACCTGAAAACATCTTTTGAAGATGTTTTTGAAGATTTTGAAATGCTACATCAGTTCTTCATTTACTTTACAAAAGCCAAAAGGTCAAGTTATTCAATCTTAATGAAGCATATCTGGAGAGGTCACTGCGTGTAATGCTAAGTTCCTTGGGTTATTATTTAAAACTTTTACACAATGGAAAAAAAAAAAAAGACCAACGATCTATGAAACAGCAGTAGCACTACAGACTCAAACCCATTATTGTACAGTCTCTGGTCATGTTTTCAAGAGTGGACTTAAAGAATATTGTACCAATTCTCAATAATTCAACATTTAGTAATGGATACAGTTTAGAATATACATCTTGTTTCACCCAATGTGGGTGGATCAACATCTTTCTACACCATTCATTTATCATGTCATTACATCACACTAGTTTTGTTAAAGTTCTTAAAAATATTGACCACCGTAAGTCAACAAACGCTACATCCCTTCCTAGACAAACAAAACCAGACATCTTGGCAGTGAACTAGTTCTGATCGTGTTGTATTGCACTTGGGAATGAGAAGTTAGAGATTCTGTACCAGAGAGCTCAGATCCCACTCCCATCTGTGAGAATCAGTAGAGCTCAGCATGGAATCACGCTCCAATGCGTGCCGTTTGCTTGTAACAGAAGGCCACTGCCACTACTTACGGGTTTGTCCCATCACGCAAGTAAGCAAACAAAAAAACTCTGTCTTTACCATAATGCTCATCTGTAGTCTGCCAGCTACTTTTTATACTGGACTTCCATTTTCATTTCATAAACTCCTTTGTCTTCCTCATTAACTGTCAACAACATTGAACGTAAAGAGTATAATTGACATACACTGCAGTTGCCTTTCAAGTTTTCTGTCATTTCATTGGACTAGGCCTCGACATAGACCAAAGGAAAAAAACTGAATTTTCACCAGTGTAATGTTGCTCCATTGCTGACAATGGGATGGTATGGGATAAATACTTCAGGACCTATGGATAACCATCAGCAGAGCTCAGTGTTGCAGAAAATTGAACTGCAACGTGAGTCCTTTGAAGGACCAAGAACATGCTGATTACTGCTAAAATATTCTTTAAATACTCATCGGAGTTTAGCTAAATAACTATTTAACCATGGACACAAATTTAGAAACATAAAAACATTGAAGCCTTTGCTTGGAATAAATGTGTTTTTGTTGTTGTTGTTGTTTTTAAGAAAGTACATGTTTAATAAACTTTCTTAAGAGTTTCATAAGCATTATATGAATCTAAGATCCATATGTCAATCAGAATTTAGAACAGTGGGACAAGTAAAATGATAAACTTGGTAGTAACCCTTGTCAACATCTCTCAAATATTTCAATTTATGTTAATAAGTGTCTGACTTTGCAGTCATACTTAAACAAAAGCTATCTCAATTTGGTAGTGTTTCTTGGAAGAAATAACCTTTCAGTTACATTCTCCTCTTTACATTTTCTAAATATTGTCAGGTATTATACCAAACAATATGCATTTTTAAATGTAAATCACCTTCTATTATGCATCATGAGATGCTGCAATAATTGTAAACTGGAGCAATTAAAGAATTTAATATTTCATTATAGAAGATATAGCACTTGATAATGTTTCCATTGGCTAAAGAGTTATTTAATTGCTGATATTATATACATAAAATTCATACTTCTGAAATGTAACTCTCTCAAAAGAAGACTAAAACAATTATCTGATACTGTATTTTTGTTGGCTTTTTTTAATGCAGTATGCATCTTATTTGCATTAGTTTTGACTCAAGGACGTTCATTTCATTCCAAAATACATTTTTAAAGTTTATTTAAAGTTTTAACATCTCTCTAAAATATGTGCTATAAGAATACATTAATGCCTGTACGCCACTATAAAATGTATAGTGACACAAGTGCTTATGTATTTTCTTTAACTATACTACCAAATTTAAAATGCAAAGTCAAAGACTGCCTGTACATCCCTTCAGAAAAGTGGTCTGTTCAGAACCCTCCTGAAAGAATAATGTCACTTGAAAGTGAATTTGGGATGTTTTATCTATTGACGTTGCCTGTCTGCTCCTCTTACGTATGCTACCTTTCTTTCTTTAACCATATTTATCATATTGGAAATTAATGGATGTGGGAGAAGTAACTATTTGCATTTATTCTCAAATGGAACGTCAGAAAATAAGAAAATCACTTAAATAAATCTTTTATGTAACTTAAGTAAATGGAAGAAACTTTCCATAGCTACAGTACATGTACCAACAAAATGTACCTCTTTATCTTGAAGCAGCAAGAATTTTTCTTTATCTTGAAGAACAGCAAAATGATTTTCCAGTTGCCACAGTAAAATTAAGACATAGTTAGCATTGACATTAACAGGACTACAAAAACCTTTCCACGTGAGCTGAAAAGGATCTTGACCATGTTTTGTTGTGTTGTTTTTGTTTGTTTTTTTTTTATCTCCTTATAGTGCCTAGACATGCAAGTATCTAAATAATTTCAAGTCAACCTGATATGTACACGTAAGGAAGAAACACGCAAGAATTAGAGCTATTGATCTGTCTGGCAGTCCCTTAAACCTCTTAACCTACTAAGTTTAAGACTGGGAAAAACAATCTTCTTGCACACAGATAATTAATTGACGAGGTGTGAGAAATAGAAGCCTGTGTAAGTAACTATAGTTGTGTTTTATGGAAGTCACATTTTGAGGCCAGGATCAAAGCCTGACTCCCAATTCCTTACTATATTACTAGTAACATTACTAGAAGTAAATGCAAAAGGATGACCTTGGTCACAATAAAGACCTGAAAAATTCAGTAAAAACAGAATTTTGCCCTATATTCTCTCAAATAAACTAATTAGATCTAAGCAACTTGTTTAAAACATAAACATGTACATGGATAACATATAAGTCAAGATGTGATATACCAACTGGCCCTCACAGCCTTTTTGCTGCCTCCCTTAACTGAAATGCCTTCATGGTCTAGTGAGTAAAAATGGACTTAACAATGAAAGCTATTTGTGGATTTTATACCTCAGAAAGGAGGCAAAAATGAGAGTCGAATGGAATAGTTCATTTCAGGTAATTCTGGGTTCACTGGGCATGGCAGCATTTATGGTAGAGATGCAGATGTAAATGAAAACCACAAATTACAAAATGAGTTTTTGTCCCTCTAACAGTTTTGGTTTTTTTTGTTTTTTTTAAACACTGAAATCACATCAGTATAATTAGAGAAGGAATGTTTCTTTCTGTATTTGGCTGAATTCTCTTTCAGAATAGAGAATAAACAAATCTCAAACTGGTACAAAGATGCCTTGTATAAGTATGTTCACCCTAAGATTTTTGCAAACACAGCTACATATGCGAGCCAAATACCTGCTTGATTTGCACTTACTTACTGAAATGCATACAGGCTTTTTACGTGCTCTTGTAAGTACATGAGGCTTCACTTTACCGGACCAATAATGAGAGAATTAAGCTAAGAATAACAAAAACCAGTGGCTTTAACCCACTCACATTATTGTATGTGTATAAACAAGCAGTGATATGAAATAGTCTCTCTTCTGGCAATAAAATGTATTGAACATAATTAAATATCTTTTGTGCAATCAAATGTACAATGAATGAATTAATTGGAACAAGCCAACTCAACCTTCTCTTTTAAAACACTTTAACTTTGCCTGCTATACTCTGCTTCATTTGGCAATCTCACTACTCTCTTAGGGTAGGTGAAAGGTGAAAGTGAGGCTAATGTACTGATGTAATCTAGATACATTTGGCTGGCACATAGCGTAGTTTAAATCATCCCTGTTTTCACTATTATCCCACACTTGGATGCAGTCAACTATGGAATGTGAGAATTATTAACATCTTCTCCAGGGCGCATCATGTGAACTGTCACTCAGGTAAGCAACCTCCATTGCTTTGCCAGAAACTGTAATCCAGCCCAAGTAATATACAGGCTCAGACTCCAAACCCTGTGGAGGTTTCATCTTTGGAGAAAGGTTTTCTCATCAGATGTGTCTGTGGGCAGCCATGGTCCAAAATCTTGTTCCTGGTCATTCCTAAAAGGCACCATGCTGCCAAGACAGTGTGGGACATGTGGATCTTGCTGCATAGAAATACATAGCACAGTCTTTGGATCTTGCCCTGAATACTTTTGTTAGGTCCCATATAGAAAGTACATCATCTCCAGCCCTCTACCCCCTCCCATGGTGTAGGCTCAACCCCTTTCGTAAGGGGCTTCGGGCCTGGAGAACAGTATCTGTAGCATCTAGAGGGAAAGCTCAAGACAAATGACTAGACAGGAGAGCAGATGAGAGTGCACAACAGGCATCACATCTGGGATTCCACTGAATAATCTTTCTCGTATCTTTTGAGCAAGAGGAAAATCCCCAGCAGAGTTAATGAATCAAGGAATATTGTTAAATTTTGTAAAACAAGCCGTGGTCATTTTTGTGCAACTAGCTTTCAAGAGCTGGGAAAGAAACTGTAGTGTACAAAAACAAGTAGCTATTGAAACAACATGTAATCTTTCAAGTATCTATGGAAGCTGTTAACTTCAGCCTAATAAAAGGAGTCTGTGTAGTCGTTCATATAAAGTCGGTCTGTTAAAAACATGTCTCCTGCATCCCAATAAGCAGAACTTATAGCACTATATTTTACTTAACAGTTTTCACACGCAAATCAGTGCAGACGTGTTAATCACATGTATGGACATGATTAATACAAAAAGGAGGATTTAAATATATTGCTCTTATTACGTATGTGCTGATATCTTCTGACACCATCATCCTTGCAGTCATGAGTGTTTTTTTCCTTAGGGGGAAAACCTGTATTTGTAACTAAGATGTAGGCATTTTAAGGTTTTAGAATGTCTTACAGATAAAACTCTGCTTAAGCTTCTGATGTTCCTTCCCCATTCTCATGTGGTTGCAGCTGTTCTCTTTCTTGTTCTTCTTGAGGCGGTCTCACACGTTTGAAAAAGCCCATCTGTAATTCAGAAAATAGAGAAATTGAACCGTGTGATTTTCAGATATACACAGATCTTTTTCTTTCTGCATCTTGAACAGATTTTATCTTATCAGTTATTGATTCTTCTTTCCTGCCACGCACTTTCACTTGATTGTTTGACCTCTAAGGCCAATAAGTACCAGATGCAGACATTAAACTGATTATTTCAGCACAATCACAGACGTTCTCTTTTTATTATTGAACTTCTTCCTGACAAAGCGAGGAAGTTTTTACGGCTAACTAAAAAGTTAACACATTCAGGTCACTAGGAGAACAAGTTATTTCTGCAAGCTGCTGCTACTATTTCAAGTAATACAGCACTGGTACTGAAATCAACCCCTCAGTAAACAATACTGTACTTACCCTGTACATAACGAGCACTAGAACAGCCAAGAGCAATAATCCTGCTAGGACAGCTAAAATTATAACCCACACTGGCACAGGCATAGGCTGTGGTTGAATGCCCCATGTAATATTTGTAGTAACCTAATAGAAAAACACAATAAAAACACATTTTGCACAGCGGTTGAGTTGTGAATTCACTCATACATTTTAAGTACTGCTTTTCTGGTTTCTATTGTAATTAAAATAATCTTAATCCAGCACAAATTAACTTTTCACTCCAGTGTGAGTAAGCAGCCATAGAATAGTGACAAAAAGGCTTCAATGACCCAAATTTAATAGGATTTTCAGGAGTTGTGTTTTTTTTTTTCCCCCTTCAGTCAGTGATACCATGGCAACGTGTACTGAGAATCACCAAGCATTATAGAACACAACTGCACGGTTTTGGAAATGTTTTGAAAATTAGAGAAAAAAATCACTGCTTTTCTTTTTTTCCCCTAAAAAGGTAAAATTCCTTAGAATTCCTTGGCAGGGGGGGGATTCAACTCCAGAAGTTCTAGGAGCTAAAAAGCAATTAATAATAGTCATTGAGAATTATACTCAAAATAAGCTGAAGTCCTTTTTCAGCTCCTTTACACTATAATGCCAACCAAAAACTTATTCTGGCAGCCAAATGGAGTGACCCATATCTTTCTTCCTGTTTGCACCTTGTCTCCTTTCTCTTTAGCCCTCTCTAGGGCACAGATGGTCTTCAGTTTCACACATTATAATATCATCAAGGCCCAATATTCACACTTGTAAGTGCTACTACAGAAAAGCTCAGTTTTCAAAATCAAATATTTCTGTAGCAAAATTGCTGTTAATAAGAACACTTAGAACTCTTCACCATCACTTCCTTTTCATTTTTCAGTTAATTGTTTAAAGCTACAAATAGCGTTAACTCTAATTTTTAGCAAAAAACGTTCCCATTATTCTCAAATGTATGTAACTGAAATTAACGTATGAATTAAGTATTTGATACAATTAGAATTAAACCAAGCCACAAACAGCTATTGAACAATCATTTTTTGTATCATTCACAAAATAATTATTTTTGTTAACTCGGGATAGATGTAAATTACTTACCACTGTAGAATTGTGAATATCTTCAAAAGAAAGGTTCTTATAAGGGAACTCTATAACATTGAACGAAGCAGATGATTTAAGGGAATAGGAGTGATTCTGATTTTCTTTCTACACAAGAAAAACAAAATTAGTATTGTGTATGTATATAAAAATCACGTCCTGTGTTCCAGAAGCGGGGACACGCTGTTACTTACATTCATGAAAGTTTGGGTCCAAAGTCGTGATTTTAAATACAGTATTGCACTCTTTCCCCTCTCCAGGTGGCCAACTTGGCAGACTATCTTTAAACAATCAGCATTTCCACAGCCCTGTGCATGAGAAATAGGAATGATATAAGAAAGATGAAAACATTTCAATATTTGTCAACAACATTATTTATATAGTTACTCATTCTATTTTCTAGGCAATGCACCATTAGCTATTTAAGTACATTAAATGAAGACCAATTTTAAATGACTACTGACAGTGTTCAATAAGTTCACATTCAGAAAAATGCTACTGAAGCCAGTTCTACTGTTTTGGATCCCAAAGCTGAAACTTCTGTCAGTAGATTTAAGATTTATTTCTGCAGGCTGAAGGGCATCTCTGATCAATTTACATTACCACCCTCCACATTTGTTTCACTAGGAAAACTCAGGTCTAAGTAACTGCAACTAGTAAAACTACACTTGGCTCTTGAATCTTGTTTGACTCACCTAAACTGTAAGCTCCTCCTCATAGTGAAGACAATGAGTACAGCACTCATCTGCTTCTGTTTTACCTGCGTTGCCTGTTTTCCTCCTATGAACTACTGATTATCAAATTCAAGAAATAGCACAATACAGTAGACATCCAGTATGGCACTGGATGTCTGGAGTTCTGTTTTTGAAGGCATAAAAATTATAACAGCACAAATCTGCAGCCACACACATCATTGGATGGCTACAGTGGGAATAATGTACACATGGGGGAAAAATAAGAACAAACAAAACCCATCACAGAGCTCCAGAGAATGACTCTTTGTCTGTTATCCTTTAAAAGACAGAATGAACTCTAGCATGTTTTCTGAAACAAGGCTTTGTCACACAGAGCTTTCATCTCTCCATTAAAAACCAACATACTATGGATATATCAGTGTCCAAAGCTTACCAAGGTTTGCACATCTCCTTCAATGGCAGTTAAATCTCTCCGACTGATACGATGATTGCGATTATCTTCCCTGCTAAACGTTTCATTCTTTTCATCCTCTTTAGAAGCAGAAATCTGGAGAAACCAAGAAAGCCCAAACAATAATTCCTACCTTTAGATAATCAACAACTTGAAAGTTCAGTTAAAAGTTCAAGAAAATAATAGAACTTATCAGTTTTCCTCCTCTTTCTGCCTTAGTGAAGCTTTGCATTACTTCAGAACCTGCTTTCAGCTATAGCTGTTGTTAAAGCATTACTCATGCCATTTCTAGACCACTGCTAAATTTCTACTAAGATTTAACAAAAAGTCTTGAATAACTTAATTCTTCAATTCAAAACATTTTCAAGTGCACAATGAACATAAAAATACTTAGATGGCAATAAAAATCTGATTTTGTAATATTCTGTTAAGTATTTTTCCTCATCATTTCAGAGTTCTTAGTTCTGAAAAAACAGCACTAGTATGGTATTGATGTACCTTATCACTGTTTGTGTGTACACAGACATACAACAGAGACCTGAAAAAATGTAGAATAAGTTTATTCCAACCTGGGAAAAAGGAGTTTCTTCTCTGTTCTGTTCTTTACAAGCTACTAGTTTCAAAAGGGCTTAAGTAAATATTATTTTCTCCAGCGAAACACATCTTTTGACCAAGTGGCTAAGCAACAGAAAAGCTACTAACATTAAAACTAAAGCAATTCTGACAAGAAAGAAAACCTTGAAAATTTACATCAGTAGCCCTGAATTACTTGGAATAATTTTTAAGCTACATTCAACATAGTTCAATTGCTTTGGACTTAGAAGTCAGATAGTAAAGCTTTCAAAAAAAAAAAAAAAGCAAAAAGGAAGTCTGACACAAACTTATCTTCAGTTTGGCGATCTGTTATCTACCCTTTATTTTTACTTCATGTACGTTATGCCATGTACATTAACAAGTACCATTAAACACTGTGTTCTTGCTCCTCAGCAATAGGAGAACACTCAACTCAGTGTGTTAGATATTTTGATTCAGGTCTTTTTAGCGTTTTTCCAAATAAGCGAACATATTTCATTTCACTCAAACAAAGAGGAAAGTACCATATACCTTAATTTTCAATGGATTGATCTCCATATCAGAAGTGCAGTTCATGGGACCGTCAATGTCATACTGAACAATATACAACAGTGTATAGTTTTTGTATTTGTAAGGCCACTGCAGAGTCATCATCACCTTGCTGAAAGCACTTGGGCCATTGTTTCTCAGCTGATTATGAAAATAAAAATTGCAGATGTAAAAAAATCCATATATATATGTAAAACACATATAGTTTATATATAATACATAGAGTACATATATTATACATATATAAACATATATACACACACATACACACAGTGGTTAGTTTATATTTCAGACACAAATGACAATGACATGAAGGTTGCTACCCCCAGCAACTTAAAGCAATAACATCAACAACTTTACCTAAAAATGGTAACTGAGCTACAGTCGCGCAGCAGTCAGAAATTGAAATTATTTCTGTAATACGATGGGGAAAAAAACTTCCAAGGAAAGCTTTTTAGCATTAATTTTTTTGCCTTGAAGCAATGTAGTTTTTGTAGTGTCATCATGAATCACAGCCTCTGTACATGTCTCAGCCAAGATACTCTGAGCACAGATAACATACACCCCTAAGTTTCTTTAGATAAATGGTCTCTTATAAGTTTGAGAACTTTCACTTTTCATATTCACACAGCTCTCTCAATTTTGTTTAATTAAACAGAAGAGATTTGAGCTGTGATCATTCTTATAAGGAAGTTTTAAATACTCAAAATTGTTCAAGACTTTTACAATAATGGTTCAGAACAGATGGAATACTAATGAGAATACTAAATAATTTACAGCTATGAGTTATCTTCTGAGTTCAAAGTACTTCAAATATTTTATCTAGATTTCAAAGGGCTAGAAAAATCTCACAGACAATAAAATGTGTAATGAAGTTATTAAAAAAAATTATTCTCTTGTATTTGGCCACTTCTGTTATAGTAATTGCAGGCATTCCAAACCTTCTTGCAGGTACTACTTATTAACCCAGCATAATTAAGTCTTTGTTTCTACAGAAGAAAAAAAAAAAAGATCATCTACTTCAGCAGAAAGCTACACTGAAGATTTCTTTATTCTCCTTTATCACAGAACTATGTAATTGAAATTAGTAGTAACTGCATACCTCATAGATATGCTGAACTAGAGGCCCTATATCATCTTCCGTTTCTGGATTCTCCTTGGGCTGCCAATTTGCAATAGGAAGGAATATGTGATCAGGAGATGACACGCTAAACAGTGGAGCAAACAATTAGTTATAATCAATTATGAAACATAAAATGCAGTTCTCTAGAACATCTCAAAAAAATCAACCTGCCTAAAATACAATCTGCAATTTATTCAGCCTTTATGTTTAAAAACTACATTGCATTTCTACCAAATACTCATAAATTAAGATCAGAAAATGAGTGTAATAGAAATCAAATAATGTGACAAGTCAGGAATCTGAGTTAAGTAACTAAGCAAGAGGATTTTATAGCTTTTAGCTATGGAGTATATGTTTGATAAGTAGAAGCAATGAATGTTAAGTGGAGTCTTGATAATATTAATACCATGCTTAATATTGAAGATGGTGAAGCCCACTGCAAGTTTATCTTTAAAAAGATTTTGAACTTTAGAAAAGGTTTATGGAGGAAGAAAGCAATCTAGAGAAATGTGCACGACTATGAAGATGAGGGGTGTTTTCCCTCCAGCCCACCCCCTGCCTCCCAGAAATAACAGAAGCATAACAATCATTTTTTGAATTAGCTTTGTGATTTGTCAGAATTATTTAAGATTGGCAAGTTCCAAATTGTGGCTGGAGAATGATATGTTCTTTATGATTAAAAACTCCTTATGATTTCATGAAAAATAACACAGATAGACCTGAAAGAAAGATTATTGAATTATAAAGAAACAAATACATAATGCTCACTTGAAGGGGGAAAAAAAAAAAAAAAAGAAGAAGAGTATTAAAATAGTATCAACTCTTACCCTCTAATTTCAACAGCTGCTGAAATGGCAAGATCAACCTGATAGAATGCTACAGGACTTAGATTGTCAAACAGATTGGAACTGCAAAGAAAATTAAAGTGAATTTGTTAAGTGAAATAAACTAAGTATTAAAAACATATACAAATGAAAAAAACCTTGAAGTGATTGGATGTAACATCAGAATATGACCCCTGAGTCACTGTAGAAGAGCAGATACATTAAACTAAAAGGGCAGACAACCAGATAGACCCTGAAGTGGCATGGTAGATAGCCAGCAGCAAGATTATGTCCAAGCTACTAACACTTTTCCACTATGCAGTGTTCTTCCAAAGCCAGGACCAAGGGAAGAAAAGGGAATAGTATTTGTAGAATGACATTAAGACTGAAAGAGACAATGTATAAAAAAAAAACAACAACACACCGTTGTCAGGTTAAATAGTGAAGTATGCCCTTGAGTCCCAGGATGCTGACTAGGGTAACCTGATGAAAAAAATTCAGGTTTTGGAGAAAGGAGGAGGAAACAACTTAGTGATAGCACCTGACCTCTAAAGTGCCATTTAGCTTCAAAGCACTCCACTCTGAAAATGTGTACCATAAAACTGAAAACCATAGTCTTGTGTCTTCTGACGAGGGGAATTCATCCAGTCTGGTGTACTCACAGACATGAGTTTCAAAAAGCTAAGTTGATATTTCTCTTCTACAACATCTTCTTACGTGTATTGTTTTACAATTTTGTGATATTAAGTTTGCCACTTTTCTCAAAAGTTCTTTAATTAATACTTTAGAGTTGGATGTGGGAATGTGTAGTGGAAATAAGATCTCATGGCTAGGTATGGAGGGATGACAATGAGTGGTAGTTGGAGGTTAAGGAAATTGCTTTCATAAAAGGTGGAAAATGTGACAGGAACTTTCTTTTCTTCCATAGAGGAGGAGCAGGACTTGAGCAATCTCACATAGAGATTCTTTACTGACTTTTACTCTGCCAGGGAAAGATAGCTAGTGACTGCTGGTAGTCTAAGGGTGAAGACATGCCCCAAACAAAACTGCTTTAAGCAAACAAATGGAGTCACATTTTACTGTCACAACTTACAATCTGCTGGAAAAGGGGGAGAAAATTGAATAAACAGCAATGTGAGATCAAAGAGATGTTTAATGCTGCCACAAACTTTGATCGGTATGGCAAACCACTGTATCATTAAAACAGAATTCCAGGCTTAAAGCTACTTAACTCCTGTAGTTGAAAAATGAATGTATATGAGAATTATTTATTTACTGTATCTGAAAACATGAAACCCTTAATTGAGAGGGGGAAAAAAAAAAAAGGGTCTGCTCCACTATAGGGAAAAACAAATACTACTACATTTGTGTGGTTGGTAAAGCAATAGAAAACTGAAGATTCCCACTGATCACATCTCCAAATATTGAATATTATCAGCCAATATAAATTCATATTTATATTTATCACATATTCAAGTGCTGTGCATATCTTATGATTAACAAAACCACTAAATACTTTAAATACATTTAATTTTTAGACTCTTTTACACTGGCTTCTGTATAGCACATAAAATGTTTCACTGCATATTGCATCTGCTTAGACCACTACGTGCATTGCCTTTTCAAAAAGACTTACATCTCTCATCCTTTAAATACATACAATTTGAAATTCTGGTTTTAGATCAGAAGCAGTCAGGCATTCAAACACTACTCTTAAAACAGGTCTAGAAACTCAAAGACAAAAATTATACTGTGACAGTGCGGTAGAGTCAGGAGATTACAGAAAGTACAAAAAATGCAGTTTGTCTTGAAACAATTCAAATTATTAAAACAGCAATATTAAAACAGCAAATTGTGCCATGGCCTGTGTAGAAGTTGTAAGCAAAAGAAGCTACATTCAGATAGAACACTATCTTTCCTATATTTTAAAAACCTTCATTCATAGAACAAAGTGTAATTTTTAAAAATATTACCAAGCATGTCTCAGCATGAAACCATAACTGCTCAGTTCATGATCTGTATACTCAGCACATTATCTACCAGGCAAAATGCATATTCACAGATTTCCATACCTTCGTATTTGCAAGTCAAACTTGACAGAGGTATCCATTTCAGATTGCTGGTGCACACTGAAACGCAGGCCAGCTAATAGCTTTAGAAAAAAGCAAACCATGGTTCAATGGAAGTAAAATAAAATACAAAGTAAAAGTTTCTTAGCACTATTATGTTACAGTGAAATTGCTTGAGCATGGGATCATAAAGAGAACACAATACAGAACTGGCAAATAAAATTTGTCCAGTTCATCACAGCAGTAAACATACTTCTCTCTCTACAGATTTCTGTCGATCCACCAATGCTGTAAAACAGAAATATGTGGTGCATATCATGTTCACCTTGCTTCAGCTATTTTTACACGTAACTGAGTATCCATATGTGTTACAAAAATTGCTGTGGTCTGAAGAACAGGGCACAGCTGAAAATTCACAGTTCACAAGGTCAGTACGTAGCAGTTGCTTTGATACTTGCACAGTTCAGGTTGGTGTACCCTGAAATACTTTGGAAATAGCATTTGTTCATCTGTACAAGATGCTTCTTGGAAGAAAACACTGTCAAAGTGTTTATAATTGTAACTCAGAAAACTAGACCTCTTAAGTCATAATATCTTAATATCTGCCAGGTACCACTAATTGTTTTTGAATTCCTGCAGTTTTGGCTACATTTGATTGAAGTGCAGAGTTCTCAGCTAGACAAAATACTGTCTCAGACTTGATAGAAGTAGACAAAAGCAATACACTTTTTCCATAACTAAGAGAAAGGTGTATTATAAGCTAGTTGTTTATTACGTACCAAAAAAATTAGTATTCAATAAATCTAGACTCACAAGAGACATTAGGGACCAAAATGCATTAATTCCTCTGTTCACTGAACTACATATTTTGAGTTGCATTGTAAAACTCAAAAACACAAACACTCCTTTAAGACTTTAGTTTACTTGAGAAATTGAAACCAATTTCCATTGAACTAACCAAACGTGGGTAGCTAGATGTCAGCTAGATTTCATCTGAACCTCCTGTCAGTAAACATCCTGTTCAAACACTATGTGTGATTAAGAAAAGCACCAGCTGCCCTCCTGCCTGAACTGCTAAACACCTGTTGGACCAAACCTCACCTTAGTTCCTGCTTTCATGGGATTTCCCAGGTCACAAACCACCATGCGAGTTTGATTCTCAGTTTTAAATGCACATGACAGTCTTGCTAAAGCCTGCAGTAAAATAAAAAAGATTAAGGAACATCATTCTCTACATCTTGACATCTCTTTAACAGGCCAGAGAAGAGTGCTAGATATGCTGCATTAATTTTAACACGATTTCTCCATCGTAACATAATCAAGCACTATAAATTCAATGAAATCTGAATATTCAAGTTTGCAAGGAGACAAATGTTACTGAAGTGAGACAGATGCTCTTTCCAAGGTTATCAAAGGAGAAATTCAGTACTCTTAAGTTGGACACAAGTGATTATTTCAGTGATCTAAAGCATTTTTCCACTTAATTCTTTATAACCTATGTGAATAAACTTTGGCAATCAAGGAAGTGTTAAAACTCTCAGCAGAAAATACAGATTGAAAGGCAAAATAACGTGAATACTCACTAGCTTACTCAACAAGAGGTGTTAAAGGAGCTAACAGATTTTGGATATATTTAAATCGGAATGGCTACCATTTATATAAAGACTGATAGCAGATACAATCTGCGTGTCAGACCCCATCACACAGATTTTCCTTTGCTACTACCAGCAGACTCAAACTAGAAACATTCACCAAGGTGTCACATAAACACAGGGCTTGGAAGAATCTCAGAGCATTACTTTGTAGCTTTGCTTTAAGACTTTACCTTAAACAGTATCACTGATGGACTCTCTCCTGCAGGCTTTAATAGCAACAATTACTGAAAGAAGAACAATATTCACAATTTTACCTCATTATTTCGAACAACACCAATGAAATCTGCTTGAGGTGGAACAATGACAAAGAGTTCTGCTTCATAGGCTCCTTCCCCTTGATTCTCTGCAGTGACTGTCAGCGTTAAGGGATTGTCATCACCAATGTAGATCTTCTTCTGATCACTGAAATAAAACAAGGGTAAAATAATAAATATATAAATAAATTACATAGCCCAACACTTTCTTTTTAACAGAGTAAACAATTATTAACAACTAAATCCCTGTGCACATTTGAGTTACATGCCTACTTTACAGAAGTAGAAGCACACATTAATAACAGAAGTTGATGGAAAGAAGGCTCAACTACAGAATACAGCCACACCTCTCTAATATGTCTGTTCCAAATAGAAATAGAATATTTTTAAAAAACAAACAAGTATTTTAGTATTTTCATGTTACCAACCAAAAGTTAAGCTAAATATAGCTGCCCTAATGTAAAAGGTTTCTGAAACATTTGCATGAATGAGCATACCCATCAGCTGTGCTACCTACATGTGCAAACACTATAGATATGACATAAAGAGAGTTAACAGTTATGAGTAGAGGTAGTGTATTCAGAATTGCTTTCAAGCCTACCAAGCAGAAGAAGCTCAGCCTCAGGAAAAGAATTGCAATTGAGAGCTTGTTCTTTTTTTCCTGAATATATAAAAGATACTGCCAACACTAACAAAGAGCAAAAGAAGCTTTACCCACCCATGCTGAAGAAAAACATGCCTGTTCACATTTTCATGTTCCTGTCTAGTATTAAATGATGGAACACTGTTGTAACTACAACTAACACTACCATTATATCTGGTCAGCTAACATGGAAATAAAATGCTGTGTTCAGTGGTACTAGAGAGGGTGCATTACTCTCCTTGTGTTACATGCTAGTGACATTCAGTTACAAAGCAGAAAAAAAAAAAGATTTTCCCAGCAACAAACAGGTCCTTCTTATTTCCTACTTATTTCAAGAGATTATTTTAATAGAGGTATTACAAAACTCTTGAAGTCCAGAATTCAGGTTTAGAATTCAAATAGTCATGTTCTCTTTTCATATGGCATTTTTGTCATATAATTACCTTCTTACTGAAACCTCCAGCTTTGGTTTGCAGATATTATCCTCACCACAATCCAGCAGTATGTGTGCCTATGCAAAAATCAAAAGCATATTGATTTAATAATTTGTGCATAACGTACATTTCCAATTATTATTATTATTATTATTTTACCAGTGAATCAGAGAACCTGCCACACTTTTCAGCTCCAGGACTAATGCCTACATGACTTCATCCTCTTTCCTTACTTCGAATCTATTTATCTTGAGTTTTTGCAAACAAGTTAAAACTTTCCTATTTACAAACAAGAGTAGAAACTGCATACAGAAGAGCAGAAACAAAACTTGTTGTGAGATCTGTAAAGATAAATGGATGAAATACATAAAGCAGTGCAGCATGAGGAATGGAAAAAACACTCCAGTCCTCTAAGGGTAACATCGTCAGTACTGTCATTATCTTCTTTTCTCCAGAAAAACCTTACACTGCACAGATGAACAAGAAATCCAGTGCTAAGGATCAAAATATTTTAAAGAAAAAGAAATATGTCACAGAGATAAGGAAAAAAAGACACATAGGAAAAAAAACATGCAAGTCCAATCTAAACTTCCATAACTCAAAGGCTAGGGCCTAGATACATGTTTTTGTATCATAATTTTTGATAAGTGCTAAGATGAACATACATTTTGAAAGCTGAAAATACATTCTTACAAAATCTGTGATGACAGAACATAGAAATCTACCTGTCTGCTCATATTAGCAGGAGTGAATTGGTTGAGGATAGGATGCAATCCTGTTGCATCTGCAGCTGTTTTGTAATCAAGACGATATTCCATAAAAATTGTAATGGGAGTTAATTTGTCTCTAAATTCAGATTCATCCTAAGGAAACAAAAAAAATTGAATTCTAATTAGAACACATAAATAAACAAAACCTAGTTCTAGTTAGCCATCCCAACAGCAACATTGAGCAGTATTTTTATTTATTGATTAACTTGCAGTAGGAACTAGGAGGCCAAAACAGCATTCCAATACCTGAGCTCTTTCCAACTAAAAAACCTCTTCTTAAAGAACCTGCACTGTAAACTTTCAATATATACAATTTTGGTTTTAGCAAGTATGATTTACAAATATAAAAGAATAGCATTCAGAAGGATTAAGTCATAGAACTTAAGCAGCGAGGAGTCTTTGAGCCTGGACAGTTCTACTCCTTCCTATAACAAAAAAAGCTGTATGTTTCTAAAATCCCTCATAGATGGTCATCTTCAGACTTCCTGAAAATATTCATTTACAATGGAGTCATTGGTTTTCATACTATTCATTTCTAATCATTGTTGAGTTCATTACAGGACCTTACTTCAGAAGCTATCTTCTCCAGACAGAAACCTGTTAATAACTTTTCCTGACAGTTTTCAACTACTTTTGTGTTCCATTTGAAGTCATCTCATATCGATTGTAATTGTTAGCTTCCATATGAGAATGTTTTACCAGCCAGAGTTTCTTCTCTTGGGTCAGACATGTATTTGCTGATTTTCATTTTGTGGTTGAAAATTTGTATTTGTCTTTATTTCTCTTACCTCCCAAGTAGAAGCACAACCTCTTCTTATTGACTTTCAAGTTTCCTGTGAATTATAACTAATTTTATGTCTAGGTGACTTGTCCATAAAGTGCATTAAAGAGTTTGAATTGAATTTCCAGTCCATTTAGTGACCAGGATCTTAATCAAAACACTAATCCTCTTCATCCTCCAGCAGCAACATTAACCCAGGAAAGATGGACCAGTTTAATAGTTCTAGGTTCATCCGTTAGGCATGAAGGTTCTCCAATAATGATTTCCCTAGAACATAAATAGATGCTCACCCTCAGAAAAGCATCAAGTTCTTCACAATTCATTTTGCCTCCCTTTGTAATAGTCATGTTCTTGGAGTGGCTAGGCTGTTTGCTGTGGAGAAAGAGAGCTCTCCTAATAGCTCCTTTTTGCTTCAGTTTATCCAACAGCAGCTCCACTTGGAAATCTGTCCAATACAAAGCATTTGGATTAGGGATATTTTATCCAGTTAAACACAAAGCAGATTTGCATCAGAAGTGAGTTTAAAAGCCGATTTCACCTTTTAAATAATATATAATGCTATAAATACAATAATTAATGTTTAATACCTGGAAGTTGTAAAACTTCCATTTATTTAAATATAAAATCTGTTATTACATCATTCTCAGTACAATAACTAAGAAGTGCCACGATTATCCAAAAATCGAACTCCGCTCATTGTTTCAAAACAGAAACTGTATTACTGTTTGAGCAATGATAAATTCATAAGTGCTTTGGAACTGCAAGAAAAACACTTTTCCAGCCAGTAAATAGTAAAGCAGCTTTGTACATAATATTTATATAATTGAACTGTGTTGCTAACTTGCTACTTCCAGTATTCAATACAGATGATGAAATATTTTATATTAACAGCAATTTTTATGAATCCTCCCAAATCATACCTCCTTCATGCACGTCATACAGCAAATAAGGAAAAGCATTTATAATTGCTTGTCACAACTTGGCTAAGCATGCCATCCGCTGTATTGTACAATCTCAAGGAAAACTTTAAAACCTGTTTGAAGCAGTCTTTTTCTGATTCTGATCTAGAAAATCTGATCAGAAAATCAGTGATATCAATCAGAACCTGAGGATTTCAGCAAAAATATGAGAAGTGCTTTGTGTCTTGTCTATATTCTTAAGGCCTAACTATGCATGTGCTTGGATGTTCTTGTTTAAAACTCTCTTCTAAGTAAGATTTCATATATGTTCCATAAAATACAAAGAATTTCTCAAGACTAATTCCACAAAATGGTGACACATGCTTCAAGTCCCAATCACTCTGAAAACCACACTGATTTCAACTGACTGAAGTTCAAAAAGAAGAAAAGAAAAAACCAACACCAAACCCTATGAAGATTTTGTAGATTTGTAGCTACTGAACTGGCAAAATTGTGTTATAAATAGTTATCATTTGTTTCAGGAATGAAAAAGAGTTACAACTAGTACTTGTGTCTGGGAATAGGATAAAAAAAGACAAAAAATTTCTAAAACTTACTGAGTGAATTAGGGAGCTTTCCTTTGCCATCTGCTTTCAAGCAGAATTTTACTTTGAAGCTGTTTTGGAAGAAAAGAAAGGATTAATTTCACACATTTTCCCCATCTCATTTTCTTCTAAAACTCCTTACTGTTTTTCTCAGTTCAGAGGTCTTCTGTTGTGAGACTTTAACTCAATCCCAAGCCCTGATTTCTACTAGTGGAAAAAAACTTGCAACCTATTAATGAAACAGACAGCAAAGAAAGCAATACAAAGCTTTGGGGTGCATCAAAAGGTGCATGGCCAGCAAGTCAAAGGAAGTGATCCTCTCCCTTTATTGTGTCCTGGTGTGGCCACATTTAGAGTACTGTGTACAGCTCTGTGCTCCCTGGTTCAAGAAAGACAGGGATCTTCTAGAGAGAGTCCAGCAGAGGGCCACAAAGGTGATTAAGGGCCTGGAGCATCTCCCTCATGAGAAAAAGCTGAGAGACCTGGGGCTGTTCAGGCTGGAGAAGAAAAGGGTGAGGCAGATCTCAATGCTTACAAATGTCTGCAGGGTGAGTGTAAATGGATGATTCCAGGCTCTTTTTGGTGGTGTGCAGCGTTAGGACAAGTGGCAATGGGCACTAGCTGACACAGTTCCATACGAGTTCCATACGAACGTGAGGAAGAACTTCTTTATTTTGGGGCTGATGGAAGTACTGGATCAGGCTGTCCAGAGAGGCTGCAGAGCCTCCCTTCTCTGAAGGCACTCAGAACATGCCTGGATGCTTTCTTGTGCTACCTACTCTGGGGAACCTGCTTTAGCAGAGGGGTTGGATGTGATGATCTCCAGAGGTTCCTACCAACCCCTGCAATTCTGTGAGTTTTGCTTCACGTAGGAATAGTTACCTGGGAAGCATAGTGTTTATTCCTGAAAAACAAGGTGATTTCTTTATCCTAAAATCTTAAAGGAACTGACGTTCTGAATTTAAAAGGAAGTTAGCACTAGAAAGAAAAAGTTGGTTCGGATGGTAATATAGGAGCAAGATACTACAGCTGAACCAAAACCAGTCTACACAGCAGACCATTTTCGAAGTTTCTTCCATAGGCTCTGTAATCCATTATGATGTTGGAAAGATCTTACTCTTCTCCATACAATTCACAATCTCTGCAGAGAGGATTTATATTAGTAGCCAGTGTAGAATCTACTGAAGGCATGTTTCTCACTCCACTGTTGTCAGAGAGTTCTTACTTTGTATTGCCTGTTCTTTAAGAAAAACCTGTGATTCTTTTTTTTTTTTTTTTTTTTAAACTGCCTGTTTGGACTTCATGAATCCTTTCAAAACTTGAGGTTTATGAAAATAAAAAATTGAAAAGTTTCTTCTTTTCCAAGGAAAATAAGGATATCCTACTTACCATGAAACTTTTACATCGGACAGTGAACAGGCTTTGTTTTCCGGGTTTAGAATGGTTGGATTAACTTCCAGGGCAGCATTCACTCTGATAACTGGTCTGGCCCTATAAAAAAGACATCCATTTGAATAGCATTCACCACCATGGTAGACAATGCCTTTCCCACTAAACTGCAAAATACACACTTCAAAAGTAATTAGCAGAACTACAAGAATAACAAGTAATCTTGGAGTTGATTAAGGAAAACGAGAAAGCTTTTCTGTACTCTTTTACTACCATCAGAATTGTGACATGGACAACTGTGTTAAGGAAAAGTCCTTCCTATTTTCAACACAGACAAACGTGGTATTTTCCTCAAATGAGCAAGTCTTGATGAGAATATTGGGACTGCACAGCATAATAGCTAGCAGCAACCTCTGTATTGGAATCCAGAAGACTGTCAGACAGAAAGCGTTAGAGACAGTTTTGAATTGTCTCATAACAACAGATACATTGCAAAGGATAAATAATAAACTGCAGATTGCTTATTTCTCCAGTAAAAACAGCAGTATAACCTTTTCCTCCTCTTATTTCCAGTAGTCTGGAAGACAGAGTGGCAGAATTTCAGACTTCCCTACTCTTGCTTTGTTTTGTAACTAACAAATGCCAGTGAGCTTTCCTTCTTATTTACTTTTGTAAAAGCATAGAATAATACATACCTATACAAAACAGCTGTGTCAACACCAAAAGCTCCAACAATCAAGTCTAAGAAAAAAGGAGAGAAAAGGGAAATAATAGACATTATAATTATTTTTTTTTTTTTTTAGGCTGCTACTTAGAGGTAGGGCTGCTATTAATCTAAAGTAACATGTAGAGCCAAGGACCTGGATATCCATTTTTGTCCACGTCTGTGGCTCCTTTCAGCGAGTACCCAAAGCTGGGTGGCATAGTACGAGCAGCCCATTGCCCCTCAAGAATTTGAGATGGGACTGCATTCAAACCAGTTGCTCTTCCATTGTAGATGTAGACAAGTCCTCTCTTGTCCTCTCCACCGTATGGTGCAGCTACTGCAATATCTGTAAACCAAAAGAACAATCTTTAATCTCTCTAACATTTGTGCTGACGTTGATTTATAATTTCTGATCTTGTACTTTTGATCTATGTCAATAGGAACAAAATGTAACAAGTCTTTAAAAAAATCATATTTTTTAATTGTATGCTCAGATATCCTAGAAACTTAGCAAGAGCATATCATAAACTTTTATTTGGATGTGGAGAGTAAAAGGAACAGTTCTGCAAATACTTATGCACTTTGCTAACTCACAGATGGATCATATGGATTTGGGATAGTTTTGAGTTTATTTAACACCCAAAATTAGTCACTGCTGGAGACAAATCAAAAAAGTGGAACGATTTGTCTATTTCATTAACATGCTCATGCTCCTCCAAAGGGTGTGGTATTTTAATAGTTGTGGAAGACTGAAATCAGCCTAAACAAATGTTAAATATTGAATTCCAATCTACTGTGATCAGGGCTTGGCCATTTATTTTACGAAGAATATTCAGTTACGTCAATTACATTCTCTCTTTAGTTTAATATATTTGTGAGCACTTAAGATTTAACAATAAACAGTAATAAATAAAATGCTAATCAGATTCCATAAGAAATAATACCTCTAAAAGCAGCTTTAGAAGTATACTGGTGATCTGAAGTAAATGTTTCCCCAGTAGGTTCAAAGTCTTGCTTAACATTCAAGTGTTTAAATACTTAACAAGATACAGAGAATAATTAAATGATTCCCCATCTTCACTTAATTTTGAAAATGTTTCATAAGAGAACAAATACTTTACCATTTTGTATTTTAAAACTCATCTTTACAAACTTTACACAAACAATAGAAATTTCAATCTTTAACCATACTGTGATGAAAAGCATTTTAATTAGTACTCCCAAAATATAACAGAACAATAAATAAGTAAAGCAGATCTAATAATGGCATAATAATTACACTTACAACAAGGAAGATTTTTGCTACGATTTTCTCACCTATATGTATTTCAGACTGAAATATGATGGAATGAAAGCACTGTCTGGATCATCTAATCAAGTGAACAGGTTTTTGGCTCTCAGCTGTAACTTTTCCAATGTCTTCCATGAATAGGTGCAAATGATGCAGGTTGCATCCTTGCACTAATTCTGTATACTTCCAATGACTAAAAAAATTTAAGTATTAACTTTATCATATTAAATGACATAAAGTATTTTGAGCTACCGTACATATGGTACCGAACTGGCACATTGCAAAACAATTCTAAAGTTAGCATGCTCATAGTTGGCCTAAAATCAGATTTTTATCCAATAATGGCTAAGTTAATTATGTAAATTGCTAAGTAAAATGCTAAAATAAATATTTATTTGTGAAACGTGTTCACCTAGGATTCTGAAAGCCTCTGAGCCAAAATTATATAACAATTGGCTGTTTGTTTGTTGTCCATTCCCAAGTGAAAGTTACAAGAAGCACTGGCCAAAGGCTTGGGATTCCACACTTTTGGTCGCATCAGAGTTTCTGTCCAAATACTTGTTCAGGAAACCCAGCTCTTGGTACAGTTGGCTGTAGTTGTCACAAAACATTTTCAGCAGACTTATCAATTTAAATATATATGTATTTTAAAATCTAGACTTTTGTCAGGAAAATCTTTTCTATTAAAATATTTTTAACCAACTCTTGGAAACAAATTCTCCAGTCATCTTTGTGTTTCTGGAGAGAAAGATCGGCTTTAAGCAATGGGAACAGGTAAACTGTATTGAGGATGTCCAAACAAATTACAGTGGAGACTAAGATATTTAACCAAAATATCTACTGCACTTATCACCTAGAACGAAATACACTACCAGCATAACAACTAAAATAATCCATGCTGTAGTTTAAATGGTATAGTCTCTGCTCGATGCATACATGTAACTCCTATTAGCATTCTTGGGAGTAGCATACAAGCATCGAAAGGAGTCTAGACCTTAGTGTCCAACATTCACTCATGGTTAGAATACTTAATGTTTGCTCGCAGAATCCAAACTTCGTGTCGTCTAGATTTAATCTATGAACTTAAAATTCTTGTGAAAAAATTATGTCCTACCATTAAATCCATCCTGGTCTAGATCACCCAGGGGTGCAATAGCACTGCCGAATCTTGCAAATATCTCAAAACCATTCAGCTTTGCGATCTGAAACCCTCCAGAGGCTCTTTGAAGACAAATGGAAACTTGGCCGACCTCTTGAAGTTTCCCATCAGAACCTCGATCCATAAAAAGTGGGGCTCCAATAAATAAATCTGTGTAACTAGACCAAAGAGGGATAAGGTTCTTTTAGAAACAGCATGAAAATCCAGTTTCATTCTCTCACGTATCCATTAGCAGGAATAATTCAGCACTCAAGCCAGTGTTAACATGAAAGTTTTCTATCTTTGAATTGCAACAGAAGGCTAATATTTATGGCAAAGAAAGCCATATAACAAATAAATAATTTAATGCATTTAAAGCATGTGAATGCATATGCATTTTTGTAAGAATATAAAAAACAAATCTCCACTTGATAAAATATTGAAGTCTAGTGAAAACGTCTGCTGTATAGATACAGTTAAACAAGTTAAACAAGACAAAAATGCATATTATAGGTGTGTTGGTTTTTTTTAATTTAATAAATGCTTTTTTGTTGTTTTGTTTTTCCAGAAACACATTGGGTGGGAGGGGGGAAAAGAAGCAGCCCACTTACTCGTCCCCATTGATATCTGTGGCAGCCACTGAATAGCCAAAATAGGCAGCCATCTGGAAAACAAAATTCAAAACAAATTTCTGAGTTGTAATGACATAAACGCACAAGAAAGTTTGTGCAAAAAAAAAAAAAAAGCTTCTCATTTTTTATTTGTCTTCAGTACTCTGTTAGAAGGTAAACTTATCAGTTACCTTCCCCGTTCTGCCTTTCATGATCCAGTACTCTTTCTCAGTTATCGAAGTATGCAGCATTTGCTCTATCCAGATAAGATTGTTTTTCTAGGTAACATTAAGTGTCTAAGGATCATAGAACCATTAAGGTTGGAAAAGACTAAGATCATCTAATCCAACCATCAGCCCATCACCACTGTGCCTACTAAACCACGTCCCTAAGTGCCACATCTACCCTCTTCTTGAAAAACTCCAGACAGTGACTCCACACTCCCCTGGAGGGCCTGTTCCATAAAACAAGAAGAATAGTACCATAAATCAGGAACAGGCAGAACTCAGAATTCCTACACACATTATAAACATTTTTTTGGCACTGAAGCTAATAACATAGGAAATTTTACATAATCTAGTACCCAAAATCGTTTAACGTATCATTTCTCCTTAAAAACAGCCTCCTTGTCATTTGCCACACCAAAGGAACATACCTGCTCTCCAGTGAAGTTGTACATGGAAGACATGTTTTTCCCGTTGTAGATGGACACCTGCACATGAGAAAAAACACATTATGGCAAAGCAACAATTTTTATCTTTTCATTTATTATGAAATTAACTGCTTCAAATTTCCTACCATGCCTAGAGTTCTGGCTGCTCTTGGGACTCCTGATACAAAGTCTGAAATACAAAACAAGACACACATGTAACATTCAGTTTCCAAAGCAGAATGCCTTCTCTTGAACAGGGTAGCTCATTCCTAGTGCTTTATACGTTTTCCCTTGCACTTCATCATTTGTTCTACACCACTTATTTGGAAGTCCTGCACAGTGAATTTCCATTTTTTACTGATTTTTTACTGAAACAAGAATCTTACCTTCTATGCCATCACCACTGAAGTCTCCAACAGCCACAGAATATCCTGATTAAGAGAAAAATTAGTAAATCACTTGAGGAACCTTTTTAAGCCTTTCACCTCTCTAAACTTTTCACAAGTCTTGATGCACGTTGAAATATAATGAAACAATTTTTTGCCTCGGAGTAGATTAGATGATGAACAGCTACACGAGCAGATTGTAACTCATCAGCTTCCATGTCAGTGAAAAGATATATTCCCCGGGTGGATTTAACAAACTTTGTACACTAGGTCTTATATGATGAGAAGTGCTTCAGGCAGACTCAAAGATGGTTCAGAATAAAAATATTTCGGTTTGATTTTTCAATAACTCAAAAACAAACAAAAACCCAGCAACTTAGTTTCCATCATAATAATAGTTGTTTTCAAATTGAAATCCTGAAAGAATTTACAAAAATACTACTTTATGTCTGTGAAGCTCAGCAAATATTTGCTAGCAATCTTGTCAAAATTTGTTTGTAAAATAGTGTCAATTGTGGACTCTGCAAATAAAACTTTATTTTGTGTAGAAAAGAATAAACACTGAGAGCGTAGTTTAGAATAGTACCAGTATAAAGGACCGAATTTTGAGCAAGGGTCTTTTGGCCCGTTAGCCAAAGACTTCAGCCAAATGACCACACCGTTTTACTTCAAATGCAAAGAACCTCGAGAGACTTTAAATATCATTGATTGTCACAAAGCTTCTGTTTGAATTACTTCCTTATTCTCCACCTACTACTGAGTTGCTAGTTCAGTTCACATTCAGAAAAAATGTACTAGCGATGTTGCTCACAGAAAAACAGTGTATTTCCAAATACTGATCACCTCTGCAGCTAAGAGCTTTAGTAACAGGTTATATAGAGATTACATGGACAACTTGCCATTTGCAACTGGAAATTGAGAGATGACACACCAGTCTACATACATTCATGCACATTTTAATTAGAAGCATAATGAAGTTTTCTACATTTAGATATCTTTCCTACTTTCTATCTGGAATGCAAACAAGTAGTGACTTCTGCATGCAAAAACAAGAACATAAATTTTACTTTCTTTCTCTCTGCAAGTGTATTAGGAATATAAACATATTTATAGAGATTTTTTTTGAAGGAATGAGAAAAGATGGGGGCTTGCTCATCACTAAACCCATACCAACTGCAGTCACAAGCAGTAATTAGTTGAAAGCTCAAACAAGCTTAAAAATTAACGAGCAAGAAAATGCACAAATCCTGGATTCTGTGGTTTTTCCATATGGTTAATCCTATTGAGTATCTTAATCTATATACCTTAAATTGCTATCAAAAGAAATTACGTTCAAGATGAGCATTTTAAAATTATCAGTTCCTGGGAAACGTCCACATTCACCCAGTTAGACAAAAGTAAAGCTAAACAATAACTTCTTACTTGTCAAAGGCAATCTTCTCATTAGCTTTCTTTCCAAACATGATTCTGTCCCATTTTTGCTTCATTTTGATTTCTTATTTAGAAACAACTGCTTTTCTAAAATAAATAGCTATGTGAGTAATTTGTCAGGTAAATATCATACCTGATAAGTTATATTAGGCCTAAATTACAGAGCACCAAAGTGAACAGAAATAGTCCCATTTATTTTGTAATCAGCTGGTTTTTGAGTCAAGATTATGGCAAGGTAACAAACCTTCTTTCATACATGATTTACAGCATTTTCAGCTCTCTTTTATCTGCCAAATTTTAAATTAATAGTGTGGTCTACATTTTAATTGGAATAATATGAATAGCACAAGAGATTTTGTATTTGTTTTGTTTGTTTGTTAAGTACAACAAGGTTTACTTCCCTTTCAAATTACATACCCAAGTAGCTGTCATCAAAAGCAGCACTAGCAGGTCTGGTTGCTAACTGGTCGTCATATTTTGTACTGTAGACTTTGGAGTCATATTTAGCCACAATCTCTGTCACTCGATCAGAAATGAGCTGGCCTAAAGATAAAGAAAACAGCTTAAAACACATGTGCACACATTCAGTAAACAAGACAGATTTATGAGATACTTGCTTATAAAGCAACAGCTCTTCCACAATACTAATCAGGAAACAGCCAACAGCAGCAGCACTAGAAAGGATAAAAATGGAAATCTGGATCCTACTTCAGCAAAGATTTATGCACATATTTAATCAAAAGCTCATGACGTGCTTTCACTGAAAATAGAAGCCACTCCTATATGTAAGGCAGGACTTGAATGAGACTGCTCAGTTAGGTAAAACACACATATGCTTGTGCTATTTCAGAACTGAGTCACCCTGTTCTTGTCTGAATTCCATAAAATGAGAGCTTAGTATGGCAGTAAACAAGATATTAACAAGCTGGTGCTTTACTGCCTTCTTCCTGTTCTCATTTCACTAGCCACTAGATGGTGACTTCATCACATTCCTTTCTTTGAGTTTAAAATTAGATTGTATTGTAAGGCATTTTTTTTTTTTTCCAGGAGAGCACTGACTTCACATTCCCAGATGTGTATGCAGCATAGGGAAAACTACTCTTCCTGCATCTCAGAATGTGGGGTTTTACTATTGCTATCTTCTTTTCAGAGCTGGGATTTTTCTTTGGTAGTAACAGAAGAGAATAAATAGTTTTTACAGATGAATTGGAAGCTTTGCTAGAAAGCAGTAAGATGAATATAAGTATATAATGTATATTGTATTCTCTCTGCAGCTGAATTTCAATCATTTCATTTTGTTTGGAATTTTGAACGTAGAACTAGAAAGATGTCTCTTGTGATGCCAAGTCTACATGTTGCCTGGCATTATACAGAAAATCTTTTAAATATTTTTGTATTTACATTAAAATGAAGGCAACAGATGTTGGCAATTCTGTCCTGGTTGTAACAACCATCTTCCAAACTGAGGCTGTAGGTAAACACTGCATGATCCTGCATACAAGTACTCACTGAAGCCCACATTTACAAAATATGAATGAAAAGATGTAAAGAAAATTAAAGAGGTCATCCTATTCTGTAATTTAAACAATGTATCTTACCTTGCCAGTAAAAACTGCCAGGTCCTCCAAGCAGGACTCTGTCTCCCTTGGGAGAAAAAATAAAAAGGGGGAGGGGAGGGGAGATAATCTTCAAATTAATTATTTCTAGAGACCAAGAGAACACGTCCTGTATTCCTGGGAATTAAATAACCACATGCAAATAAACTGCTTGTAAATAAACCACATGTAAATACATTGTAGCTTCACTGACCCCTCCCCCCCTTCACATTTTTTGAAGGAATGATTGCTTAATCCAAATTAAAAATGTATACATTGTAGAACACTAAGATAAACCACAATATCACTTCAGTGACTTGCTTCTCCGTATCATCCATCTAAAATTATCAGCATAATTTTGCTTTTTGTTTTAGTAGTACTTTTTATCCAGGTAAGGCAACAGAAATAAATTTAGGAGAGAGTATAAAGATTGCTACAAACCAATAATATGTTTTTTGGCCAGTACACAAAACTAGACTCATCTTCTGCCTCTCTTCTTTCTTTGATGGTTGGACTAGATGATCTTGCAGGTCGTTTCCAACCTTACGATTCTGTGATTCTATACAACTTCTTGTTAGAAAAGTTTAATTCAGAAAAGCTGTGATGTAATTCCCCTACTCCCTATTCCTTGGTAGAAGTGCAATCCATAAACCATTTTAAGCAACTTGAGCCACATTAGCTATCCCAGCGCTGGGAATTTGCTCCATAAGTACTTTACTCAATCAGGCCATTGGCTTTGCTGCATAACTAAGCCATTTATCCTCATTTTAATCTAAAAACTCCCACATCGACCTCTCAGAACAAAATAGGTCAGAGATTTGGAGATACCAGTCTTGCCAACTCAGCTAGGGAGGTGGACTGGAGCCCAGCATTTGTTTTAAAAGGGGCTAGAGTCTGCACAGTAGTCCTGAAGGGTACAGGCAAAATAACTGAAACACTTCTGGGCCAATATTTGCACAGTCTGTGGAGCAGAAACAAGGGTGTCTTCAGGCAAAGAACGAAAGGGTATTATGCAATATAAGGTCTGAAAAACCCAAAAGATTGCCACATCACAAATGGATCTTATCATGCCCAGATAATGCTAAACAATTTAACTGATAAAAAAATGATGATAAAAGAGCTATAGTTAGTTCTGAGATTCAGGCACAGTTTTATTGTGAGCAGGCTTTAAAAGTTATTGTGAATTAAAAATATAGGCATATTAAAAGGGAAGGAGAATACACTGCAGAAAAAAATATATATATATAATAAAGAGGGCAAAAAAGAAAGTCTATTTCTCCTAGTCACTGAGAAAAACAAAGCTCCATTCACAGGAATGCTGTCTACCAGTTCCCTTCAGCAGTAAGTTATTTTTCCTCAACAAGTAACATTAGCCATGCACTGGTCCTTCCAGAAAAAAGCATCTCAAGACATTTTACCTGAGTACTGGCTGCAGCAGGGCTTTATAGCATGAGGCTGGAAAACTGGATTATTTATTTTTTACATGACTCCTAGAAGTGGTAAGTGTGCTGTTATGAAGGTGTAGGGAGAAACATGTTTACACTACTGGAATGGTTTGAAGGGATTGTTCTTAGTTTATAAGGAGTTTGTTTGCTTTCTCTCCCCCGCCCGACCACGAATGGTGGCTTACATGTAGTTTCATAATGTCTCTGCTTGTATGTGGTCTGTATCAGGGTGGCTGTTAAATTGGAACCATCTGCTGAGTAACAGGAACTAAGTAACAATCACATACCTTTGTAAAGTCGATACTAAATCCACCCTGACAAAATCCTTGCCCATCTGCATCAATAGTGGCTAAAGAATAGATATAAAAGGAAAAAAAAAAAATCAAAGATAAATATAATCAATAGTAAATCAGGTTGTTTTGTGGATTCTTTCCAATGCATCTTTCTAGATAACTTTGCACTCCTGACTTTGAAATTTGTAAACTTATTTCACTTGAATTAGTATTTTCTCTTTACAGACAACTCACAATCACATGCTGTAATACCTTCAAGGCTGACCTAACATGTATTCTAACCTTAGCATACTTTCCAGCCTATTTCAGTCAAATTAAACAGCAACTCCATATTGCTTCTGGATTTCATCTTAAATTATCAGGAAAAATTGTTCCTGGCTTTATTCAAGAAACCATGCAAAATATGGAATAAGGTTTGCTTTTCTTAAGGAAAAAAAAAAAAAAAATTGAAATGCAAATAACAATAGAGTATTTGAAGTATTGCCTTAAAAGAAAAAACGCATATCTGGCTGAAAAAATCCCCACATACTGAGACTCATCTATAGGTGGCTTAATCTTATGAGTATATAGCTCCAGAACAGAAATGCAGAGGGACACTCATCTAGAAGTGTGACTAACTCAAGCTAATAAATTCTTATTTGACCTCTTCTTCGGTTGGATCACAATGGATTTCAATCCTGCTGTTCCCCAACGACTTGCAAAAAAATAAAACAACAACAAATCTTTAATACAAGTGCTCAACCTTTAGTCTTGCATAGTAGGAAAAAAAAAGAAAAATAGGGTTATAAGCTTTTGGACTGTACACCAACTCAATTACATGGTAAGGGTGCAAAGCATTTGGAGAGTAAGACAATGAATGCAATTAGAACTGTGTCATCATGTATATAAACATTCATGGAAATCAGAAGCTTCTTCTGAATGATCTCGTGCAAATGAGCTTTTTCTTTAAGCGACACAAATAACTAAGCTGCAGAAATGTCTAGAGTTGGTCTTCAAGTGCCAGATTTGTTGTTCTAATGATATGTCACTCAGACAGCTGTGAAGAGCATCAAGTAAAATATTATTACAATTACTGCACTGGCTACATAGGAACATCCACATCTTGAGAGGAAAAAAAGGGCTTAGTTTCAATGCGAGAGCCATTGCTAGTGAAGCGGTCAGTAAAAAGTCTGGCATCCTCTGTTCCAATTTTATTTGGATCAAAGATTTTCCTCTGACCTACAGTAGAGAAAATAAGGTCTGGACACTGACCATCAGAGTTGGAGGGGAATCCAGATGTCTGGATCCTGCTTAATTTATTTCAAATTGCTATGAGGGGGAAATACAAGAAAAACAAGAAAAATTCCTAACACAAGCACAACAGATCACTTACTTGACCTGCAGGGTGCATATTCCACAGATTTAGATCCAGCAAGCAGGTAACAAGTTCCCACAGGCTCTCGCTCTTGTTTTGTTTCAGTTCTCCAGTGATACAATGGGGCACAAGCCTAAGGAAGAAGACAGCAGTGAGAAAACTCCTTTTCAAAATGCTGGGAGGTGCGGGCTAGAAGGACTAATACCATGGAATTGCAATTTATGTTTTTTTTTTTTTTTAACAGACCAGAAACCAAAGACATTTTGACAGATGCACCGTGGGTTATTGGAGATCTATTTTTTTAGAAATAGCTGACTTACAGCAAAAAAATTTAGATATAATATTTTCTTCAAGCAGCATTTGTAAGGAGTTCTTTAAGAATTCAAAACACATTTTAACTTCAGAAAATGAATTCTACTACTTTTCTCAAAGCCAGAGAAAATTGCTACAACCTTTGTTTATGAACACTTTAAAATTCTGAAAAAGCTAATTCTGAAAAAGTCAAATCAAGCTGATTAGTCAAGTTTTATTTAAATTCTGAGTCATTCAGATCTTTTCATATCTTTTCTACTGCAATACAGCAGTACTGAAGCATCTGAAAAGTAACAAAAACTTACCAGAATTTTATCATTTTTGGATCTCACAGATGCTCCGAACCACTGATGAGACTTAAATTCCAGTGGATCATCAGGAGCAAAATCTCTGTTGCCTACAAAGAAAATGAGAAAGCAGCATAACTTCATGGTGAACTGTTACAGTAAAAATTTAAAATGTTAAGTCATTGGTTTTGCCACACCCAGAGGAAAGCAGAAAACAGTAACACTGGAGGACATCATCCTTTTAGCAAAATAAGCGTTAGAAGTGATTTATTGACATTTATTTTTACATTCCAGGCAAAATGCAGCTATTTTTAGTGTTGTGAGCATGCAACAGTTACAGCATCTTTGACAGGAACACAGTAAATATCTCATACTTCAGATATTTGATTTTCATGTCAGATTACAACACTGGTCAAGAATCAGTTCAGTGCCAAAGCTAAGTTAAGAACGTGCTTCTAGAAGAAACATTATCCTGATAAAGTTGTACCAATCTTGCCATTGGCTGGAGTCAGGACAGAAATTCATCTACTATTCTATTGAGTGTTAACATTTCTATTCTGAATGTGACTGCAGGATGTGATACAAAGCCAGCAATCAGCATTCTTACAAGTTATGAGGGCAGACAGTAATAAAAATGGTAATGAATTTGCTCATACAGAGGAATAATTTTAGTTTGCACTGCTCAGTGATGAAGTTTGGTAGATGCAACTTAATGAGTGGTATTTTGTGCTGTTACAAATATAAAAAGTCTTTAAAATGTTTCACATTTCTTATGTGCTTTCAATGGAAAAGTAGAAACTTTGCCAGCCTCTTGAGAAACCCAATGTAACACTCTGAATTATTATTATTTTTTAAAACGTTGCCTAAATTGCTGGTTTGCGGTGCCTAAAGCCAAAGAGTCCAAGAGTTCCTCAGCCCTACATCACTTCCACAGACCGAAGGGGAACCCCAAACCCAGCCTTGTTATGAATCAGCAGTTCTAGTGCTTGAGACCTGTGACCACTTGAATCACAACTTCCTTGCAAGTCAGACACCTCAGGAGGCATTCTTTGTCTCGAGAGACCGTGTCACTTCCATTAGGAAAATCCCACAAGAAGTACAGTAAAAGCAGTTCTTATCTTCAATCAGCCAAAACAAGCAAAGACCTGGACTACTCTCATTTTGCTCTAATATCAGAACTATGCAGAAGTCAAGGCCAAGCACATAACATCACAGAGAACTATTGTGTTGCGTTTTCTTTTTCTCCTAATTTCAAAGGTAATGAGAAAAGGAAGAGAAAAGTAGAAAACACTTCCTTCTGCCCTCCTCTCCTTCACTTTCTTACTGAAAAGATGCTCTAGACAGGGAGGGCCTGATGATTAAGCATATCTGCACAAATTTATGTACACTGCATACAGTCACACAATGCTCAGACAGAAATGTAGTTTGAAGGTCTGCATGTCACCGCCTCACAAAAAAAAACCTGGAGACTTCACAGATTATTTTCAAATACGTAATGTCTTGAGCACACATAGTTTTGCTGTATCTTACCCTTTCCTTGCCTTTAACTCATGAAAAAAGATGGATAGTTTTGCTAAAGGATGCAGCTGCCCCCAGAAGGAGAAGTAGTTTCCATGCGATGCTATCCATATGTTTCTGCTGCCAACCTTTGTCATAGCCCTACTCCCTACTGGTCACATATACAGAAGGAACCCTATAGGAAAAAAAAAAAACAAAAAACAGGAAGATCAGGGCCCAACCCTGCTAACTGCAAGGGGAGGGAGGCAGTGCTGACCTTCTGGGGAGAAGGCAGGGATACAGGGCCAGGACTGGGATCTAAATCCTTTGTGGCAGTATAATGGGTTTAAACTTGGTTTATTCTCATTCTAACACCACACCCAAGGTTATACAGCCTAAAGACAGATTTGGCTTCTACCCTCTGTTTGTATAGCTACTCTTAAATACAAAGCCACCTCTCAGTTTTACTTGCCAAACAAAGCAGTATGCTTTAAAGAATGTAAATCTTGTTGGGAACAGTTACTGCGTGGAGTTGTGTGTCTTTGTCTGCTCTTGGATATTTATGCAGCACTACCTATTTATGACTACAATGGAAAGTACTATAACAGTTTAGTACTGTAAAGCAGAAACCTATCCTAAATCTTATAAAAATGTGGAGGATATAGAGACTTCCAGTGTAAGCTTCAAGCACTAGACAATAAGTAGAAGTAATGATCTTGTCAGAATAGCAGGTAAGCAGCCATAGAGCATTATCAGCAACCTGATTTTATTGTAGACATAAAGGAAATTATTTCCCTCAAGTTTCAGTTGAATGCATCAGCTGAGACAGAATGAGGTAATAAAAAAAGACAGATTATTGCTTAGTGGTGCCATCCATCCATAGACTATGGTGATTGCATGGAAAGAGGGGAAGCAATTGTTCACTCAGCACACGCTGCCAGAACAACAGCTCTCTGCCTTTTCCCATTGTATTCCTGAGCTGCAGAAGCTCCAGTGCTGCCCACACCAAGGATGAGGCAACATTCAGGATGGCAGCAGTAAGCAATTCTCCTTCTTCAAGCTTTTAGGGAAGACATTTTTTTCTATAGTATTGAAAAGGCCGTCATTCTGCTTTACATTAGGGATAATATTAGAAAACTGTCATCAAGATAAAACTGAAAGGTAAGCAACAAGGCTTTGAGATACAGTCAGAAGCTGGCACAACCCCAAGTTAATTACGTTTCAAGTGTCATGACATCAGAAGCCAGCATTATGATCTCTGAAAGCTTTAAGAAAAAAATGGAAGTTCATATACTTAAAAAAAAAAAAATCCACAGCACATACAGTAAAAACTGCTCCATTAGACACTTAAGCTAATGTCAGTACCCACGTACATAATATAAAACATCTGCTTCAAGGATAAAATGCCTCAGAGTGAGTTTGTCCTGCATTCAGTGCTTCCCTAGGAGAAAGCATTCTTTCCAAAGGGGGGCTGCTGTTTGGCTGGGGCGAAGTTTGCTAGAGCACAAAAATCTGAATCTAGTCAAACATATTTTGGAGGCATAGACTTTTCACATCAATTGTCAATGTTACAATACAGGCCTACTCTTAACTCTCCTTAAAGAGAAAAAGTTACTTTTATTTGTCCACCCACCTCCCTTCAAAATTCCCCATAGGAAGAGAAACCACAGAGAAGTAGGTTATGATTCTTTCTCCCAGCTTTAGTTTTCCCAAAGAAATACTAATTTTATGAGGAAATCTGGAAAACACCTTGCCATCAAAAATCCCCTTGCTTTGAATAAGCAGCCATTTGGGTTTCTGTTCTTGACTGGGGAAAACAAACATAAAGAACACGTGAGCCTTCATTGGAGCAAATCAAAGTTAAATAAGGTATATTAGCTTTACTGTGAAGCTAATTGACATTGAGACTGACTTTGATGTTTGTGTTTTAGTAGAAATCAAGGGCCTGGTTTTGTTATTGTTTTATCATTGCAAAAGTTTTCAGTGGGGAAGAGAGAAGGGAGGGGGAAGAGAGGAGAGAAAAAACCTCCCCCTCTGTTAAAAACAGGAGCTGCTTTAAACAAAGCAAACTAATATTTAGACATACAGGGATTTATAAACCCGAGCCAGTGGTTTGACATAACGTAGTTGCCTTTACTGCTGTGACAGTTGTCATAGCCACTGATGTTTTGCTTCTATTTCTCATTTCCTCTGGAGTGTCTGAAGAATGTCTTGTAAGTGCCTTTGCACCAGTGCTGTACACTGTAAACAGGCATTCAAGCAAATATGCCAACTAATACAAATTTGATTCTTTTTTTTTTTTTTTTTAACTTCAGAATTCTTCTACCAATGCTATTTTTCAGATTAAAATGCAGCCATTCCATGGACTCCTCCATGATGGGTCATTAATTCCAAGATTGCGTCATTTGACTGTAGGATTGTATCTGAGAAGACAACTTATGCTGTGGTTTTTCCCTTTGCTCCTTCCCATTGTAGTAGACATCATATGATGATTTCACATGTCTTTTTCATTATGGAAAGAAGGCTGACATGGCAAGCCAACAGTGCTTTGTCTCCCTCCTTTTTGGGGTGGGGGGAAAGCGGGGGAAGATGGCAGTGATGGGGTGGTCAAGGTCAGTAAAATTCCACACATTGATGATGCTCCTCTGGTCCAGGAGCACCACTTTACAAGATTGCATAAAATTCAACATTGTAAACTTGAATACATAGAATTAAAATTTGTGAAAACCAATGTGAAGGGATGCTAGAAATAATAGTCTAAGTCATCTTCCAAATAAAAATAAAAAGATCAAAAGCTTTTCCAATGCTGATTTACTTTTGGCTATCAGCTTTGGGTAGCTGCTAACTTCTGCATTGGGAAATAGAAGGCATCAGTTATAAAAATGAAGATATTACTATAAAATGACATGAGCTGTCTCAAACTTGTAGCCTGTCGGGTTTTTGTATGGTAATAATGGAACTGCACTCATCCATTTACCCTTGCTCTGGAGTGCCAGACTGAACTGAGACAACTATGAGACAAGAGGCAGTGAACGGAAGAAGCCTAGCTCAGTATCAGCATGCTATAAACACTTATGAAATTATAAATCTTTAATAGCCACCCGATTCACCATATTTCTGTCAAAATAAACTTCTTTGTAACAAAGCCAAGGCAAATGATGTTGCCAGTTCTACGTAAAAGGAAATACAATACAGCTAGCCAGAAGAAAAACAACCTTATAAAATATACCAGGGTACTATTATCATAAGCCAGAATTTGACAAAGCAGAAAGCTAGCTATCTGACATCTAAAACCTCAGAGATTTCAACCTTAGTTACAGGCAAGAAGGAGCAAGTCCAAGTTTACCTTCACCTGAAAGTCCCAGTACCGTGAGGCAGCTGATGACTCACCAGGATTTAGCAACAGTGCTTTGATGCTGGCTCAGGATACAGAGGAACACAGATTCCCAATACTCCCCCTTCCCTCTCCTGAGCTATGAATCCTGTTTCTCTCTCTGGGCGGAGCTGGAACAACTGGATCTTTTCCTTTGCCTACTGTAGGAGCCTTTTTTTTTCCAGCTTGTCATACAATTGGGATCCAGCTACCCAAACACAGAGCCAACAGCATTCATTC